TATACTTCGTGGTTTGGTGTCGTTGTTTTGTTGGTTTGGGGGGGGGGGGGGGTGGAGAGAAATTCACAGTTGATTGTTTTGTTTCTTCATGTATAGACGAATATGTCTATCAATTATTCATTTGACTTGACGTTAAAAAAGAACAATAAAGAAATCGAAAAGCAAAACGTTAATCCACTAGTATCATCAACATGAAATGACGGTCGTTTGAATACTATTTGTTTACGAAATGAAACAAGATAAGTTCGAACTAAAAAAGCTATGTCTCGATCCATTCAATAATGATCTTCGTTGAAAGAAGTGTAAAATAATAAGAATACCGATTTATTTTTTTCTATGATTGAAATCTTAGAACTTCAAAATTCTCTTTTGATTTCTTCTTTTGTCTTTGAAATTTTTTTGAACGGAAGTGAAACTTCATAATTTTTTCCCTTATCTTTTTTACTAGGTTTAGAAAAGCTCAAAAATAACTTTAGGTGTCCTAGAAGGATTCTAATGCTTCGTATATACAATATTTTTAATAGTTTATCTAAAACAAACGAGTAAATGAAAATTCAATAAGACAACAACTAAATTTCAAATTTGCTTAATGCAACTAGTTTGTATGTGATCGACATTTCAACTATGTCAAACTTTGGAGCATGTTAGTATATCGACTGTGGAATAAGGTGAAAATGCACAAATATCATTTAATCAAAATAACTTTGTCGATTTCTAGCTTCGTGTTTGATAAAGAATTGTTTTTCCAAAGCTTTGTAATCTTTTCTTCCAGTGAATTTCGTTTCAATTCAGCTTTGAATGACTAACAATAGAAACTTCTCCAATATGACTGGAAGAGGCTACCCTAATATTTGTTGTTGAAGTTGATAAAGAAAGAGTTTTTTCGTTTCTATATGGCGTCTCGAAAGCAAGTTTCTTTTTAGTTGTGAATGCTTGTTCATATTATAAGATGAGAAAAGATCGAATGACAACAAAAATAAGATGGTTCTTTTTTCTATTCAGTTTTCATGAATATCCTATCAATTTGTTCTGCTGGTTGCTTGTATCTTATCAGAACAGACTAAAAAAATATTCAACGACTAGAGACCATTCGGATAGTTGGACATTCGATGCTGAATTTGCTGCCACTGGATATACAGCCATAAATAATATATATGAGGCGCGTTTAGCTTGCGTACAAAATTTTAAAAAACTCATGATTAATTATTGATTGAACTAATTTCTTTTCATTGGACGTAAAATAATGAAATTCTTCATTAGGAACATAATATTATATAATACATTCAGATTGAAGATTTTTCGACTTTTATAAGCATCTAAATTACTTTATGTATGTTAAAGAACTTTGACCTTATATGTGAGAGTAACTGTTTTTTATTTTTTTTATAAAATATTTAAAAAGAGAAATGTAAAACATCATCTAAAAAACTAATCGATACTAAATTCTATAATGATAAATAATTAATTTAAGACTTTATTCATTTTTTTTTAATACTGAAAATAATGAAGACTAGCGTCACCTTAAAGTGTTTCTGTATCGAGTTGTTGTTTTTCTAGTTTATCCCATAAACGATATGATGATTCCTTTGCGATGCGAAATTGTCTTCGACATTTAGATGGTGCTGCATCTGTTTCATACTGTTGATGTTTATGTACTGCAAGTAGTTGTTCATATTTGAATATATCAATACATGTCTAAATATCATTATGTTGTTTTGTGGATCTCTCGTTCCGTCCATTATGGCATCTTTCAATGTGGTTTATAGTACAAGCATTGATGTTTCGATAGTAGTAGTACGTAAATGGTGACTATTGAATATACGTGTTCAATAGCCTCATGTACATCTTCATGTGGTAGAAGCGCTATGGTAGCAAAACTTCCGAATCAAACACGTCAAGTCTCATCGTTTTAAAATACTACGCTCAGATTAACATCAATGAATTTTCGAAAGAGTGCTTGTCTATTAATGAAATAGACAACCTTTGACCTATACGAGTAAAAACATAATGATAAAATATTATAGAAGTATAAAGTAATAGCTTTATTTTTATGACATTTACTTATGAAGTTCAGATAGATGTAGGGTGTAAGAGTGTGACTGTAAATCTTCTCTTAAACTAACTACACTAGTCTACACCCAAGAATAAAGTATTAGTAATACATCCATTACGTTGAGTGCAAATAGTGCTTACGAACTTATTCATATCATGGATATTTCTTTTTCCTTCTTCTTTCAATAACAAAAAAGTCTCTTTTCCTCGCCAGATAATATGTGTATATACATATAATATCTGAGAAGAAAAAAACACACTATTCTACTCAAGAAGCATTTATCTCCGTTTTTCTTGCAAGAATGTACAAAACCAACCTCTTATTTTTGATCATACTATTCTTTCTACTTCTTAATGGTTTTGTTATTGATGGTTTTTCATCCTCGCCCTGGGCTAATAGCAGTGACGTTATCGTACTTACAAATCAAAATTTCAATTCAAAGATTAAACAACACGATGTATTATTAGTTTTGTTCTATGTTAAATGGTGTCCACACTGTCGGCGACTAGATCCTGAATATGAACGAGCGAGCACAATATTATTAAAGAATGCTGATTCTCCTATATATCTTGCTAAATTAGATTGTACAAATGATAACGAAGCGCGATGTACGCGAAGATATGAGATTAATGGTTATCCAACATTGAGAATTTATCGCTATGGACGTTTTAGTGGTGAAGAATTGAATTATCGCAATAGAACAACTGATGAAATTGTTCGGACAATGGAAACATTGAAGAAAGATACCAGGCAAAAAGAGCAAATATGGTCCAGTAGTGCTCAAACAGGTGGAGTGAAAGATGAAGTGAATAAGACAACAACCAATGTACCATGTATATGGTTTTTCGTTGGATTATTTATGGTACTTTTTAAACTTATATAATATAAAAATGCATTTTAAAATACTTTATAAACGAGTTTTTTTTTATCTACACATGTAATTTTAGTCTCTGATCTATGAATCGGCATGCTAGTTGTATTATAATAAACAGACTGATTCAAAACTGCTTACAAATACATTCTCTAAACTGAAGGGCAAGGGTCTAGAATAAGATATTAAATCCATTGTATCTATGTGCGTCTGTGTGAAAAGCGTTTTACAACTACTTTCTGTCTCATGATACGGTATGGTTTATTTTCATTTCCATTGACTTCACAGTTTCGAAATTTTTGAAAAACACAATTGATCATGAGTGATGAAGTACATAGCAAGAAACCTGGACAATTCTCTTACTCAGCATGTGAAAAAGAAATTTATATGCTACTAAGGATTATGGAATCATAGTATGGTTTCTTGCATCACGGAATCTCAAATACTTCGCCTCTATGTTTATAAAAGTTTCAATTTCGGTATTGTGGGTTTTACGACCACTAACTATTGGATTTTTATCACACGGCTACAACAATCTCTACACTATAGCATAATCTATTTTCGAACAATGCCATCATCGTCCTTAACTATAGCATTATAAGTTTTTCTGACTTTGGAATTCCGGATATTTCCGCCACGTCACTATTCATTAGGCATGCAGTGAATAGCGAGTAACTTCTGTCAGACCACCTCACCTTGCTTCTCAAAGTCAGTGACAAAGTAGTGGAGATATCATTCTAGACGTATGCGTCATAAATTTTTGTAGTTTGGGACTATCATATTGTTCACTTTAGGAGCATTACTTTTTGAATTACAATAACATAGTTTTCAGAAATTTAGAACCATAGAAGTTTTGATTTTTCAAACATGCTATTGGAAAATCTCAGACATGACCAGAAAAGATTTATAAAAAACGACAGGTAATGTCTATTAGAGTACGTGGTCAGAATAGTAGTCTCTCTTTCTGCGGCCCACTCATAAACATATGCCAAAGAGACAAAATAGACCAAGATTCCTAATAACACAGACCATGCCAGATATTTTGCTAAGTTAGTCTACCTTATCCTCATGGACAGTATGATCGACATGGTCAGGACTCTCGTTTTCCCATGATCTTTCAGTCTAGGACCCAACGAGTCAGAAAGCAATGAGCGTTACTTGTCTCATAGATGCATAAATAATACATGATTTATTCATCCTAAAACCCGTTTCTGTGTTTCTGAAGCATGCTAAACACCATCCAATGATACTTCTATATTACAAACATAACAAAAAGAGTGTCAGACTTCTGAGCTTCTTTCCAGGTTATAAGAACATTTCAAGTGCTTCTGCTACCTAGTTTTATTTGCTTATTCAAACTTGATTTTTTCATAGATTTTTACCTTATTGGAACTTCTTTCTTTGTCAACTTTCGGATATTTGTACTTCAAATCTGTTGAACATTCATTTATGCATGTAAAAATTGTTTTATCTCTAGTTGATTTAGAATCTGGAATGCAGAACTACTTGGGAGGGTGTTGATGTGAGGATATAAACTGAATATCCATCGCACACTTACACCTACATTTTCATGTATGGTTGTTCTTGTCATTTTGTAGACTATTCAGTTCACGAAAAATGTTCGTTGTCTATTGTCACGGTCATACTTATTCTTTGCAGCAATTTGAATGTCTTTCTTGTTCTAGGTCTTTTTTATCTACATGCACATATTGTCTCTTTTTCGATATATACTTGCATAATATGATAACATAAACACTAAATTCTCCACTACGAAGTTACAATAGAATTCAGTATTGTTGAGTATAAGTAACATTTCTGTGTAACGTCAACTTAAAATCTCATAGTTTGTAACCATTCTCAAATAAATAATTCCATTTTTGAGTTTGAAGAAAAATAAAATTGACAAAGGTTATTATGTTCAGAGTTCATTCCAAATATCTGATTATATTTTTGTGCAAAAACAAAACTCGTAAGACACGCGACGAAAAAGTTTTATATATATATCAATATCAATATCAAATATGTTTCATACAAATTGAAGAAAGGAAAAAAAAGAGGTTCAAGAATGAGATTACAGATGAAAAGAAACCAAAAATATAGAAAAATAGAATTATGGCTATAAATTAAGAAGAAGATAATGGTATTGGTTCAATAATAGTCGATGAGACTTGGTTTTTATCATTTGATATTTTTACAGATAATGGAGTTAAATATTTCCAATGATTATAAGGAGATTCCATCGATGAACTAACACCACTAGACGAATTCGATGATGAACCTGTACTAGGTGGCGCTGAATGTTGAAAATTTTCATTTACTTGTTGTCGTTGTTGATGATTAGATTCAAGTAATGGATGTGTTGAATCATTTGATGAATGTGTGCAATAATGTCCACCATTGGCTGATGACGAGGAAAAAGTTTGATCAGATAAATTATGTTGTTGATTAAGTACTAGATTAAAAAAGGATCTAATTTTAATAAATAAAGTTAACAAACTGAAAACCTTTATGGACTAATGGTGTAATAATTTCTTGTGTTTTATATTGTCGTTGGCATGTGGCATGATGATAATGTAAATGCGTAAAAGACTCTCCATTGATTTGAGAAGGGTCACGATTATCCACTTTTTTACTATTATTATTATTATTATTATTAGAAGATATCTTTAAAGGAAGTGTATCTGATGAATAATTAATTAAACGACGATGTATCAGACACGATGAGATAGATGGACATTCAACTAGAATTACATAACACAAATGTTCGTTAAGAACTTCAGTATTTCGTGTATTCTTCTGTATACCTGTTTGCTTGTATGAACAACTAGGTGATCGACATTCTTCATATTGACTATGAGCATTGAAAGGTGTTAATGTATGATAAAAATTTTCTTGTGTATTTTCATTATCTAAGCGATTGATTGGATTTATATTTAAGCGTATTGAACCATTTTCATTTATTATTGAATTATGTGATAAACCATGATGATAAATTTTCGGTGATTTTGTATTAGTTGGACAAGCAAAGGGAATTAATTTACCATCAACAGAAACGACACCGTGTTGAAAACAAGGTGTTACAGCATAATCGGGATTTAAATTTTTATGTAAGCCATCACAATAATATTCTGAATCATTGACAGATTTAACATGAGCTAAACAATAGAAAAAAAAACAATTTATTTATTGGTTTTTGTGAACCGTGATCTAAAAGGAGTGCTGAAGTAAACAGGGTAGAAATCTGCACTCAGCTCACCACAGACCATATATCAATAACAAGTTGTTACAATATATTAATTAGTCCCTTCAATATATATTTGAAGAATTAAGTAAAAGGACACTGAAAAAATGTGGCACAAGATAGAAAGAATGATATGATCTTCCTGTGATTAGTAACAGCAGTTATATCGTGTTTCATATTTTAATCGCGCATCGACTACGCTTTTTTAGAAAGTTTTATTAAAACGTACCAATAAATTTTTTTTGTTGTAATAATCTTAATATACACATAGCAATGAGTATAATAATTAAAATCAATAAAACGCCGGCAATAATACCAATCATTAAAAAAAGAATATCAGAACCTTTTTGTGTAGAAGATGATGATGATGATGATGGCGTTATTACATTATGTTTCATATGAGAAGGATATTGAATTTTGGTAATATTTTCAAGAATTTCATCAAGATTAGGTGATGAATTTATTTGATTCATGCGAGAACGATGATGAGTTGAAACTAATAATAAATATTCTATTAAATAGAACAAAAGAAATTTTTCGAACAAAACTTACAACTAGGAACCGATATTTCAATTGAATTACTCATTGGACTCAAACCAAGATTGGAATATGTTGTCATACGTATTTCATAAACTTGATCTGGTTCAATCGATGAGATCGTATATGCATCTATGGGTGGATAACGTAGATTAGGTATTGTTATGGCTGTAAAATTTCTCTTTGAATGTATTGGTCGATAATAAACAACAAAACCATCAACTGTTTCACTGCCAGTATTATTTAATAACTAACAATACAAGACATTTTAATCGACAAAAGAAATCATGAAATGTTACTAACCTGCCATTTTAATGAAATTTGTCCATCATTAGTTATCCATGCGTCAGTAATTTGTGGTAATGGTGTATTTGGTTGATTTTTTATTAATTTCAATATAAATTGTTTTGCTGCACTAATAACTAATTGTTGACCATTGGCATCAAAACCAATTAAACGAAATTTATATGTTTGATCTTGTTGTAAATTACTAATAATAGCATGATTTAATGAACGATTATAAAAATCATCTATTGTCATCCATGATGTTTTTGGATGAATTAAACGATATTGTATTTGAATAGAACTTAGATAATTTTCAATTGTTTCATTAATTTTCCAGAATAATTTAATTGCATAATTATCTATTTGATTGATATCAATTATCTCCAATTTCGATACTAATTAAAAAAAACACAATTTATTTCCTTAAATCAACAAAAAAAAAGATAAAAAGAAAACTAACCAGGAGTATTCAATCTTAAGCCTTTTACATGAACAAAACATTTGGCTGTATCTATTCCGAAATCGGCTTTCGATGCAATACATTTATATATACCACTATCGGATTTTTGTGCTGATACAATACGTAAACCACCGGATGAAAGCATTTCATAACGACGCATTAAATTTGAATTAATTACTTCATTATTATGTAACCATTGAACAGTTGAACCAGGCTGTGTTAAACAATGAAGTTGAACTGTTTCACCTTCATAGACAGTTATATTATTTGGACCAAAGACAATTAAAGATTTTTTTAATGGGATTTCATCTTCGAATTTTTCTGAAAAAAAAAGAATCATTTAATTTAATAAAAAGAAATTTTCAAAAATTGAACTTTTACCTTTAAGTTTATCATGATTTGGATAAACAAGAGCAGCACTTGCTTGAGCAGACCCATATGGATTTCGGCCAATGCATTGATAGATACCTTCTTTAGGTTGAGTTAATG